TTGATACTTCTTTGGAAAGAACTTTTAGTCCATTACTTTGCCTTCTTGGTATGTAACCATTTCCAATGCCAGAGAGTAAAGCAGTGTATTGCAAGTACACAAAAAAATAAATAGAAACCCAACATGTAGATCTGCAGATGTTGGAGAAATGGAACTCCTATGATGATTTGTCAGCTTTTAATATGGGAAAACATCATGAAAGTCAAGTTGTAAAACAATCTGGGAATCGAAACAGCCATACAAGCAGTTAGACAGTGGATCATATGTCCCTCAAATTGCTTTAATATCAGCGTGATAAGGGTTAGAAATTACAGTGTGACTCGTCAGAAATTCAAAGGAAATTTAACATTTTAGGCCAAGGTTATGACTTTTATAAATATATCCTTTCTAAGCAAATTGCTTTAGAGCATTGCAGCTAACACATCCTGAGCCTGATCAATTTTACACACCACATTTCTACACACATTAATCATGCCATTATACAGAAGTATTGGTTTTTACCAAAAATTATTAATAAATGCCCCATATGTGTTTAATATGAAAATATAGGTAATCTGTTGGGTTTTGTTTTTTTCTATATATTTATATTTTCCCACTTTTTTTAAATTCGTAGCGGACAACTTTATTTATTTTTATTTTTTACTGCTAACTTTACTGCGTAAATTTATTGTTGGTCACGGGAAAAAAAAAAATTACCTGCTGTTATCTGTGGCATTATAGCTTATAGCAAGATTTTTATTGTATAAAAATAATCTATTCCACAGCACTTAAAATGGGGGCAATGTGTATAAAAATTACAAATGACAAACAAGTTATGGTGATCAAACAAACTTAAAATCTAATTAATCAAACCATCACTAGAGCTTTTGTAAGCAAAAGGGAACTGTCACTTCTCTGGAATTTACACCATTGAATAAAACATTGAAAATCAAATATAACTTGTGTTAACCTTTTTGTTCATGGGTATGCTCATTTTCTTTTAAAATATAGTAAATGCCATTATAATTCAGTTCAGACAAGGCAGAGCGGGGCAAAGGTTGCAAATGAAGAGGTAAAATAGCAACTTTGTTTAAATTCTCCTCTTCTATGTTTGCTTCATCTGCATTGACTGACAGGTTCAAATTGCAACGCTTATGACACTTTTTGACAGGGAGCTAAGATTGGGGGCGCACAGTTGCAGCAGGGTAAAGAGGTGTGGCAAACTACATTTTATTTAATTTAATGATAGTTTTTGTTTTTTTCACACATCAAATATGCATATGTGCATAGGATAAGTAATAAACTGAATGTTTAGCATCCTGGGAAGTGACAGTTCCACGTTAACTAGTGCTCTCTCTGGCATTGTACTTGTCTACATTTTGGAAGAAGCCACCTGCAGCCGTCACTGTTGATCTACACCTGTCAAGATCTCCTTTGATATCGTTAAAAGGGTTATACGGGAGCTGTGTTCAACTGTTGTTGAGATGCAAGTGGCATACACCCAGACTAGATTTACCATATCTTTACAGAATATTCCCAGAATCAAGTGTCTTATAAAGATGACATTTCTCATAACCCCTTTAAAAAAAAAAAAAAAAAAAAGTATACCAAGAACTTTTTGGTCAACAGCTGGGTAAAAGGGACTTGTGATTTGTTTCTAGAAAATGCCTTCTTCATATATGCTTTTCTATAGATGTTATGACCATAAAAAGTGCACTTCTTGGCGTACTTATACATTGTGTTTATAAAAAAGATGTTTTATTGTAGAGATTTTGTATTGTAATTAAAAATAATTAGACTTTCAGTATATCATATCGCAGTAATTTATCTTTCAACGTACGTTTCTATTTAGCCACAGATATATAATGTTTAAAATGGAGAAAGCAATTGATTCATTTGTATCCTTTACTTCTGTGATCCACCTCTTTGTTATTTAAGCGTTCTTTTATGTCTTCGTTATGTGTTAAAACTATTCTCAGCCAAAGAGATTAACTAGTTAAATACCATAGTGGTGAGCAGTGTTATCTGAATCTCATGCCCTCCCTTTTTTTTGGTCTATGAAAGGGCTAGGTAATCTGTCAGGAAGATTTATGGGACCTTGTATGGTGGTAAATAGGGCTAAGTTATTATTTTCTGCAAGCTAATTGTCCTTGGCATTTTCCTGTTTTGACTGCTTCACAGCGATATATTGACTCCTTCTAAATTAACATAATATATTAGATACAACCCAAATCGGAAATGTAGAGTTCTCTTAAGGTCAAAACATATAATATACCAACGTGTGACTCATTAGTTTAACTGCATAAACTGCTTCTCAGACAGGACATTTATCCAGTGTCCTCATAGATTATTTTTTATAGAAATGTTAATATGTTTACAGAATTATCCCATGCTGATGCAAGATTTGTAAAATCCAATTTATCCTTTTTATTTTCCCCACCACAATACATTACTTTCTTTTTTTGTGAAAGGGTTAATATACCGTAGGAATCCATGCATTTTCTGCTCACATGGAGTAATTTTGGAGCCCTTTCAGTGAGATTAGAATACGGTGAAATCCTACTATTAAATTTAAGTAATGTTGGTAATATATTTGTCCGGCTTTGGTTTAGCAAAAAGCATTGTTTTAACGCTGTTTTAAAAGGTACATCGCTTCTTATTGGAGCAAGTATAAGTATAAGTACTTTTGTTGCTTAATTTAGTTGTAAATCTAATTTGCTGGCTCACACTTAAATACTTTTGAGGTCTATAGAAGTGGGTACTCCGGCACTCATTTTTTATTTTTTTTCCCCTTTCTGCCTTAATCTTTTTATTTCGACTTGATCTGTTAAGAAAAATATAGAAGTTTAGATTTTTATGTTCTTAGCTACGGCTGACATTTTGGCTCTCAAGCTATCATGATCTAGTTTTCAATGATAAAGCTGTAGGACTGGATGAATATCAATAGTCAATGCCTTCTGTGCCTAAATGTCATCCTATAACATGAAAAAAAAACATTTAAGCATTTAAACAATTTTCTGTTGTACAGAAATTGAAGATCGATTCCCTTTTATTCACGATTGCCTTAACATACTGACCGCTATAATTCAACTTTTCTATAGCCTTTTAAGCCTAGAAGTGCCAGAAAGTCTTATTCACACACACCTAGAACTCAGTTACCAGCAAGGTTGCTACCCCAAAGATGATATATAGTACTAACGCATTTCAGCTTTATTCATTTTGCCATCTTGAAAAAGAAAAGTCTTGTGAATTTCCTCTACTTTTCATTTTTTTTCTATTGTTTAAAATGTACAGTGGTATTTAAAAAAAAAAAAAAAATATGCAGTTGATGAACCTAGTTTTCCGTTTTGTAATGCGTTGTTTTACACCTTTCATAATTAAATTGCAGCAAAATAAAATTCTATATTTGCATTATGATGTTTTTATTTCGCCATTGCTATTATTACTAAGAAGTTTAGCCACATTTTATGAAGTTGTTGTGAAGGTTTACCATCAAGTCATGCTTTAAAAAAAAAAAAAAAAAAAAAAAATTTAACTCTGGAGCAGTCCCGAGGATGGGGCTCAGAATGTGTGTTCATGATTAAATGGTTGACATTGCATTTTTATTATGTATGCAGGCATCCGCTTTTAAGTGATATTGTAAGAATATATTCCTATTCAGATTTAAACTGAAGAGCTAGATTCTTAAGGAATTATCAGAAATTCAAAGTGAATTCCAAATATAAAACTAAAGTAGCTGAGCCAGAAGCATAGCTTAAATATTTTTTTTTTCCAGCTATCTTGGTCTTAAACTATCTTTTTAGTGAATAATTCGGCCAGTGACTGCATATTTTATGTGATCAGGCACTCTAAAATTTCAAAACCTAATGGCTGCACATTGAAATGTCTCTGATATTTAAGTTTACATGTAATAAGCAAGCCCATAAAACTGAATAAAGCAAAAAACAAAGGGAAGGGTGCGCCTTTAATATAAATATTTTATATACATAAAATAGTATGGTTCAAATAACTAGACACTAGTCCAGAATAATAACATCCACAATAATGAGGAAAATTCTTGTAGAGCAACGATTTGTCACGAATGCAGACTTGTAGTCTCAGTGGGACATATGGAAAAGAAGCAGAAAAACGGAAATTCAATGGTGCAGTAGTTAAATATACTTGGATATAGAGAATTAAAAGTAAGTACTACTCACAATTTCCAGAGCTACAATCCAGCTCTGGTATAAAATGCGTGAAGTGGAATGATCCCCACTCAAGGATATATGAAGTATGACTTGAAATTCAATAATCCAGCGATGGTTCCAGCCGAAAATAAAAAGAATAAAATATATAGTGCTCACTGTATCTACTGTAGTAAAAGAATAAAAGGTATAAAATGTACTCACAATATATTGAGCAGGCCTTACTGCTCAATGTGTAGCATATGGGTGGTATAATCCCCACCTAAGGATTCTTTTGGCGTCTCTTAGGATGATGAAGAACAATGTAGTCAGGCTTAAGAATAAAATAATATAAGTAATAAGATAAAATAGGAAAGGAAAGTGACAACCAAAATATTTTAGAGCCAAAATTCCTTTATTTTAACAAATTATAAATTTATAAAAACTTTTTCTAGACACGTTTCGCCTACAAAAGGCTTCTTTAAGTAGAAAATGGTAAAAACATAAACCTGACTTACATAGCTTTATATAGGATGCATTAATTGTATTGGAATTCAAATGTTCCCACCAAAATGACGTCCTTATAACATGAATTATTGTCCGTCTTTGTTATGTACTTTTTAATTATACAGACCATATTTAAATATATTTGAAATAATATTTATACATGTAACTATTAAAAACGAGGTGCTGGTATATTATAAATTGTGTAAGATAAAAAAATCACGTGACGTGCGGCTAATTCACTTCCGGGTCACGTGGTTATCTCTAATTATCTGTAGGGGATTGGAGGGTACTCCCCTTTTTAGGTGTGCTGCCAGTTCAATATATATACCCCTTAATTTTGTGGCATTCTAGCGCTGATCCCACTTTGACTTTTTCCATAAAACTGAATGTAGATTTATTTCCTTCTTATTTTAACGATTTCTTTAAAGGGGATGTCCTTTGAAAATTAAACCGATTCACATGCAATAGTCTGTCGAGATGTAAAAGTTACAAAACATGTTAAATTAAGTTAGTCAGTTTTCCATCTTAAGAGACCACTCCAAGCGCCATAAATACTAGAGCATGCTGTAGTGGTTATAGTGCCAAGGTGCCCTGGCAATGCAGAACGGTTTGACTACTTACCAGGTTCCACTCTTGCCTTCAGTACTGATGATGAAGAGCAAAACGTTTCTAAATAGGAGCTTCCATTGACTCCCAGGGCTGAAACGCAGGACTAGCTCATTGGTGGAGTGCGTCAGCTGATCAAAACTCATTGCTGAGTTGAACTCAGACTGAGCGCTTCAACTTTCCATTGTTAGTAGTGCAGGTTTAAAACTGCACTCAGTGGACCACAGGTAAGAGGTCAAACCTTTCTAAAATGGTTTACTACGTACCATGTCATGGATATGGTGCCTGGAATGTTCCTTTAAAGAATGAAAAATCAAAAGTAGAAAGAAAATAGCTTGGCTGATCTAGTAGACTTAAAGAACAGTTTCTGCATCATAACAACTTCATTGAAATACTGGAGGTCCCTGGTGAGGGCTTACTAATGGTTTAACCACAATGTCTGTGCTCCAGAGCCAGATCACGCTGCTCCCCTGTCTTCCGCTTTCTGAAATCCTAGATAACCAAAGGTTTGCATGAGTTTACCACAAGCTCCTAGAGGAGCCTGCTTGCCAGCCTCCTGCCCACAGACTATGGACCCTGTGAAATATGTTTAAGTCTCAGTTCGTGCAATTGGGATTATATGGTTCAGTTACCGAACAACCGCGTGAACCAGAGACCACCCTGAAGCTTGTTAACACCTATTAACAACTTGGAATGTTTCTCACCACAGTGTTCTAATTGTTTGTCTGGGTGGCTGCAATTCCTATGGAAAACCAGGAGGTGGAGGCCTCGGTGTTTGGGCATGAATCTCATGGAACTAAAATCGGAAACAGAAACTCCCGAACACAGCTGGACTTCCATCATCTCCTGTGTTCGGTTCTATACAACTTAGAAGGGCACTGTTTGGTGAAATCATTCGTCTGAATGAGGAGAATAAGCTCCAGGGTAAGACTATTGATTCTGTTCCGTAGTTTGTTCGTTTTCAAACTACCGAACTAGACCGACCGCAAGCCCTGATTCTCTGGAACTATTTTGGGCATGGGACAATGCCTGCAGTCGATCAAATAAATTACTTCCAGGGAATTCCTGAACTGATCTGGGTGATTTTTGGATATGTTGGTCACCTAGATCAGGGCTATCAGGGGTTTTATGTATTTTTAAGGTATTTTGGGGTTTTTATAAAAATGTGTTTTGTGTTTGGAGATAATTGAGTTTAGCATAAGTGCATGACTCCAGTATCTCCCTGGTACAGAGGAGGGATTAACCTATTATGTGTGGGAGTGTTGTGGATCTGAGAGCCAATGTGATTGCGTAATTGTACTGTGGTTTACTCTCAGGACCAGGGGGGAGGGCCCCTTACATGGGGACATGCATATAAGGCCAGTTGTGGATGCCATTAAATTATTCCAGCTTGCACTCCAAAACTGTGTGTTGCCCTGTTATTGGAGGAAAGGAAGATTTATCCCCTGTGTCTGCTGTTCCAGCTTGCAGAGGATTCAATGGGGAAAGTCTTTGTTAGGACTAGAGCTCCCAGGACCGAGTGTCGTCCAGTGCCTGGGTGTGTCGAGAGTGAATTCCCAATTCAACTCCAGGAAGGAGCGCTTCCAAGGCCCCAGTCAAGCCACGGCGACTGTGGGCAGAGGTGCTGCGGTTTGTCTCCTGTTCCAGCTAGGAGGCGGTCCTTGGCGGAGGTACTCAGCCGGGGTACAGGGAGCTCCGTTACAATCCCCATTCATAAAAAAAAAAAAAAAAAAAAAAAACTTTATCTAGGACAGGGGTCAGCAACCGATGACGTGTGCCACGCATGGCACTTGTACGGCCTATCCCAGTGGGACTTCAGATATTTGCTTTTGCAACGTGACCTCTAATTGCAGGTGGGTGACTATCCTCAGTTTGCGCATTGCAGCACTTCAGAAACCCTTTTCAGTGTTAAAACAAAACCGAGAAAAAGGAAACCATAAAAATGAGTTTATAATACATTGTGTATATATCAGCTTGTTAAAGCAGTGGTAATGTGAAACAGTCTGTCAGACCACCTCACTGGTAAGTATCCCTGAAGCAGACCCCTAACACCATATCCAACTACCTCAAATCATGATAAATTGGAAGCTCATATGAACAGGGCTTTCTTCATATGCCGTTTCTATTTTTGTGAAGCGCTGCAGAATATGTTAGTGCTATATAAATCCTAATAATAATTTTAAAGTGTTAAGACCTCAAATGATCAGTTATGGATTGAATGTCCACCATGCTCTGTTGGCCACTCAAGTTGGAGGGGGACTAGCATATAGCTTACCTGAACAGGATCTGTTGTTTGGTAAACTTGAGGAACTTGACAAATAATGCTTTTGGGTAGAGCACATTGCCTTCGTTCACCAGAGAGGAGAGGGTGGCCCTTGTCTGGTTAACTGAAAGTAAACTATTAAAAACACAATATCCTAAATTTTGAACATGCAGCAAACTGTCTATTCTTAGTTTTCATCTTTCAGGTAGCGCCCAAAATAAAATTGGTTCCCTTATATGGGGTTTCCATATTTCAGGTTACCAGGTTAGAGAGCTATCTACTTAACAGCTCTCTAACTTGCTTCCCTTAATCGTCAAAATTCCATCAGGGAGTTATCTGCTAAATGATTAAAATTTCTTAGTTTTGATCTTTCAGCTGCTTACGTAATTTGGTATTCACGTGTAGTTGACATATTTAAGGATGGCAAATATGGCAGTTATCTGCAGAACAGCTCCCTAATTTGGTACCCTTAAATATTTTCGATGGTACATAAAGGTGCCAGTTTTATTTAGGTAGTTATCTACTAAACACGAACATGAAAGATCACAATTAAGAAAAAACCTTTTCTTGATTATGGTCTTTCAGCTGTTTAGTAGATAGCTCTCTAATTTGGTATTGCTGTATGGGATTGTTATATTTAAGGGTACCAAAATAGGTAGCTATTTACTAAACGCACCTCCCTCCCTAATTTGGTGTCCTTGCAAATGGCAATTCCACATATGGGTACCAAATTAGGGACTTATCTAAACCAATAAAAGCTATACTGCTGATCATGGCATTCCATTCAACAAAGTGTAAAATCCAAAATGAAAATACTGCACATATTTTGTCCAATAGACAAATTTAATACTGGACAAAACTGCATTTATTTGTAACTTCCACCATGCGGAAGTCTAGTGAGCAATGAATACCATGAAAACTATACACATTGTGCTAAGATGTTAATTTATATTTATGGTATGTATAATGTCAAAATAATGTTGATAAAAGCCCAGTAGGGGTCACTCTTTCATAAAGTTTACCAGACTGCAATACCAGCCAGTATAGAGTACATACAGATTCCTGTGCACACTGAATTGCTATAGTGAGCAGACTTTAATTAAACCAATGTTTTGGCTCTGCTATGGAGCCTTTGTCAAGCATAATACAGCAAAACAAACCACATATATTTATAGGTAGACCAACTATAAGTAAGTAAGTTTGTGTGTGTGTGTATATATATATATATTAAATTTTATATACAATGTACGATCTGTGTAGTTTGCATTGCTGTGTTATGCTTGATAAAGGCTCTATAGCACACATACAAACACGTTACATTTAGCAAGGCTACTTAAAATCACCTATCTTAGCAAATAAATATGGGGATTCAGTTCCACCATATGGCCATATTGTGTTAAGTCCACCACTACATCACAGTACCCCAATATCGGTGGCTCCTACACTAATTTTAACATGGGAGATTTACAGGCTAACATACAATACTTACTTCCGGTGTAAACTGCTTCAGGAGACTCCTCAATTTAAACTTTCATGTGGTCATCTCCAAAGGGGCACCCGTAGTGGATGGGTGGGGTGCTCACACAAAATTATAAAATGATACGATCAATATAATCCGTATAAAATATATATTTTAATGAGACAAGTACATAAAAAGAACACAAGCTGCTCCAAAAAATGTTAAAACATAAAATGCCACACTGATACAATAAGTAACATAAAAGGTGGTAATGCTGTTTAAACAACTACCACCCAAATTATTACTAAGTAAAAAAAACGACCTTCAGAGAAGCATAAAAAAAACCAAAACCTGTTTACACAACATAAAGTGCCAATGTGCGTTATCCTAATTGTAGGTCACAGAAAACTTGAAAAAAAAATCCAAATATAAGAAAAGGGGTTTATCACCACCTCTATGCAAAAAAACTTCCTAAAAAGCAATACCTAGAACAAGAAATAAACATTACAATGATAATACTGACATACAGAAAAGACCAGAGCATAAATAAAAATACTCCAGTAATGGTACTTATCAAGGGAGTGGCCCCTCCATGAGTCCTTGATCCAATATATGCAGGAGATCAATGGATGATTCTAAGATGCCCAGCTAGCCCAATCCCAGATGATTCTGGTGGGACGGCACAAAAGCTCACAGTTCATACAAGTGGTGAGCTGTGCCGATCAAAGGGACCCCCACTAACTTCTGACTGGTTACCGTGATGGGGGAGCACAACCAGCTGGTAGCATGTAGAAAAAGCAGCGGCCGGTAACCTCAAAAAAGGCCGCGGGTAATAGAAAGGAGCAGCGGAACGGGATAAGACATGGACCGATGAGTCTACATGTGTCGTCTCATAATTGAGACTTTTTCGGGACAACGTCCTTATCTGTAAATTAGCCTTATGTACCCCCAGGTCAAGGGTACATAAGGAAATTGAATCAATTAGATAATTAAAAGCAAACAAATAGAGAAAAGAAATCTAACAATACATAAAATATAATTATTTATTTAATTCAAGATCTGAGTATACATTCCAAACTAGAGAATACAATAATAAAATACATAGGACTTATCGTGTATATATAGGGCTGATATATAATGAATATTAAAACACTACTATTCTAGCTGAGATGTGTATTTAGAAGGGGAGAATAGGAAAGAAGTAACTAGAAGCCCAAATAGATACAAATAACCAGGTAATGGGGAAGAATATAGATAAGCATTCTATCAATACCATATTCCAGTGCCATATATATTATAAGTGTGCAGAATATATACGCAAATAAAAATCTAGCAGTAAAATCATAATTAATATGTTCATAGATGCAATTGATCTAATTCTTCATTGAGCCCATAGGGGCTTAGGGTACTTAATTTATAAATCCATTTAGACTCAGTGTCTATTGCATTTAGCAACATCAACCATTTTTGGTATTAATTCAATACCCAAAGCAAACAGCTCAAATGGATTACTATTGTGTACAGATAAAAAAATGTTGTACCACTGAACATTTTTTTATTTTTATGTAATATGACATATCTGTGTTCCCTAAACCTGACTTTCAAAGCCCTTGTGGTTCGGCCTACATATTGCAAGCCACAGTTGCAGGTGAGGAGGTAGACAACAAAAGCGGAGTTACAAGTAATCCTATCATTGATGGGAAATGAATTTCCTCCCATTACAGACCTACAGTGAGTAGTTCTATGACACAGATAGGTACATGTGAGACATCTAAGACTCCCACATCTAAAATTTCCTGCTAAACGTTCCTTCTTAGGCCTAAAAGTGCCCTCAGGGCTATACTTGGAAGGAGCCAAGATGTTTTTCCGATTTTTGATCTTTCTAAAAGTGACCCTTAGTTGGTCAGGAATACTAAAGTTGAGCCAAGGGTCTAGCTTTAAAATAGGCCAGTGTTTCTACAGAAGTCCTATGATCTTGTCAAATGCACAATTAAATTCAGTGGCAAAGATATGTTATGGGAGACATCCTTGGTACTAATAATTTATCTATGTTGCGGAATCTTAGTACTAGGTCTGGCTTCCTCTAACATCTGAACAAACTCTGTGTGTGTATGGAAGATTCATGTCTAGGGATTTTTGATCCCATTAAGTTGCTTAGTTTTGGTGTGAAGCAGCCCTTTTCATTCTCCGTTCTCAATACTTTTTATGACCCCACTGAATATATATTTTTTTATAGTTTCTATCTGGGTGGGGTGCTCAGCCCGATAGAAATCTGGTCTTCATTTCAAATCTACACAGAAAAAAATGGGAGTTGGGGGCACACCCAGAACATGCATTTCCAAGCAGTGGTGCTGCCGTAAAGACCAAGACTTATACAAAATACAGTAAAAGTTACAGCGCACACACAAACAAAACAGCTTTACATTTAACAAAGCTACTTGAAATCACCTATCTCAACAAATAAATATGTGGATTCATATTCATATATATTTATATTGCAGTATTTAATTATACTTTGTGTGTGTGTGTGTGTGTGTGTGTGTGTGTGTGTGTGTGCATTTTCTCGTTCTCTTTTTCTCTCTCTCTCTTTCTCTTTCTCTTTCTCCTCTGCCTCAGCAATTCGAGTACATATTACTGGATATTCAACAGCGAGAAATTTGGGCAGCTACCTGCTTAGTGCAATATATTATGTTTAGGTCATGGGTGTTCAACCTTTTGGTTTCCCTGGGCCGCATGGGAAAGGAAGAGGAATTGTCTTGGGAAACATCAAATATATAATATAGATAAATGGTAGGCAGCATTTGGCACTCCCGATGTTGTGAACTACATCTCCCTTGAGGTAGCATTGTGGGAGTGTTGATGGTTGCCTACTCCTGGTATAGATAATGTATATAAGTAATTTATCTTTAAAAACATTTTTCTTAATTTTTATATTTCAATTGTTTAGTAGATAACTGCCTTATTTGTTATCCTTATGTAGGTTTGGCATATTTAATGATATCAAATTAGGGAGCTGTCTACTAAACACATACATATGTATATAGGTATGCACACATAACCACAGATACACATGCACAGTCACAAATCTATACACACATAATCACAGACACACACTCGCATACATACACAAACATAATCACAGATCTACAATCACATACAGACACATAATCACTGATATACAAACACATACAATCCCAAACTTACACACACAATCACAGCCCCCCCCCCCTCCCCCCTGTCAGAATATTTATATCGGCAGACATTTTGTGCGTGTATATTGCCAGAGTCACTCAGAACAGAGCGGACTCCATTTTGCTATCTTCAGGATAACAAAGACACATAATTTGCTTGCTTTCACTAACCACTGAGTCTGAGCTAAGGAATGCATTATATAAACACAGACACTAGTGACAGAGAAGACTAAGTAATTAATTTTACAAGGTCTCATTGTAAGTTAGGGGGTGAAATTGAGTTTAGAACTGTCAATTTTAGAAATTACGATCAAAGTAGTTGCCACAAAGACTGAGACAAACGCTTTGAACTGACAGCAAATTTAAGTTATGGTAGTCATTTTAGATAAGCCAAATGACGTCAAAATCGTCATCAGGAAAAGTTAACTCTTTTTTTAGTAAGGCGAGACTGCCCTCTATGGACCAAATACCTAAATTGCGATCGATAGATTGAACACACCTTCAGTCTCCTATTGGCCTTATCAACTAATGACGTACAGAGAGTCTGGCCCTTTAAAAGTTAGGACAAAGGGAAGAGAGAGTTAGTTGTTGGAGTTTGGGCATTCAGATTCGGACATGCAGAGAGAGCGATTCAGGACACTCTCTGGGACTAACATTCAACTCTTAAACTCCTTGACACTTAAAATTTACTGATACTTTCTAACCAACACCACTTTTCTCTATTACTCACGCACCTCCATACAACCAATCATACTCGCAAGTTCCTGGGACTACCTACTCATCTGATGAGAATACCTACATAACTGGTAATTATGCTGGTTTTATTTAATTAATTTAAATTAATTAAAAATGTACTAATAGCATGATATATGACTAGATAAATCACGGTCAGATTTCAATATTTAGAAATCTTAGTTAACTAAAGAATATATAGTTATAAACATTCCATTCTACAGGTGGAATTAAGAATAATTATATATTAATGTGATATTATCACGTGTTAGCATACCGCTGTTTTTATCGAGGTGTATTGATTTGCTCTAAAATAAGATAAGATATCTTTTTAGGCAAATTAAAATTCGGCTTTTGTAAAAATCTGGTAGATTATTCTTATTGGATGGTTCCAGGAAATGATTAATGAGCTGGTTCGAATGTTATTTTAATTGAAAATTACATGAGAATAGGATATTATATGCCTAGGAGGATCTAGCCAGCATTGAAAGGGTTATTCAGTTCATTTAACTGTTAGCCAAGGTTTTATGGCTTTTCGCTGTATGAAGCTTTACTTTCTGTCTGTGAAGTACCCTCATAAATCTTAATAAGTGACAGGTGATGCTGTTAGCCATTGGAACGTGTATAGCCATTCCATTGTATTGCATACTTATGTTATACTAAATATTCACTGATTATTATCATGCATGCTGCCTAATATTATTGTTATTTTATTTGTCACAATAAATTAAATCTATTTTTATAACAAATTGTGATTTTATTTGTATGGAATACATTTCACTTACATGATAACGATCTCTGAGATCTAAGAGAATTGAAATAGTGGGCAATTCTCGACTGTTTAATATTATCATCCCATAAATATCCCCACACCCCAGCATTCACAAAATCACATGCACACACATTTAGTACTAAAGAGCCTCCCAACCTTGCCCTGGGAGTGCTGGAATGGATCCTCTTCCCCTCGTTGCTAGTGGTTGCTGCTGGGCTGGAGCCTAGGACCTCTGTGCTCTTTGGGTGGCCTGCGAGCTGTGCAGGAGGAGCACAGAATGTAATAGGCTCCCTGTCTCCCTCTCTTTCTGGCAGCGCAGATTGGGGATGCATGCAGCCCATAGGCCGCAGGTTGGACAACCATGGTTTAGGTGAATGTTATTATTTCTGGTTGGTGTTATTTTTCTTTCTTTCTGCATATATATGTACAGTAGTGTGAGAGGCCCAGCAGACTAGAGATCTAAACCGTTTTATCCTCCTTGTTTGTAATGCTGTCATACTGTGATATGCAGCCAGCAGGAGAGAAAACACAGAGCAGTACATTGCATGACAGGACCAGCTTCACACACATGCAGATAAACTATCCATGTGTGCTGGGCCCCGCTATAAAGCTAATTGCACATTCAGGCCGGGAAAATAGGGAGAGCGAGACAGGTTGATAAGAAACCTGTATAAAACAGTTTAAATACAAAAAGAGAAGTCCTGCACTCACTCCCATCACTCCTGGGTGGCAGCAATGACCACAGTACACATCAGCTCCAATACATATAGTAAAAACCAAAGAAAAAAGTTACCTGTGCTCTCTCCTTAATCCCTATGTATATTTAAACAAATCACATTTAGTTACCCCAATGGCCATTGGAGGGAATACCCGCCTGCCAAAGTCAAGGCAGACCCCCCTAGACGGGTCCTACTCTGACCCTTCACCTTGCTTCCTTGAGCTTCTGGCAAAGATATCTCTAATGAGACAGAAAGGGGTATTTTTTATATACACCCCTATATACTTATTAACCCTTAATAGGGAACACATTGGATGAGTGGCAGAATTGTAACTAGCTGTGTGATACAAAAAGTAAATACAAAAAGAAAAGTCCTGCGCTCACTCCTGTGGCAAACCTAGCCACTTTGACAATATAAAGAGACTGTACCTTTAAGGGTTGCCTGTATGGTTGTGGGATATGTGTGTGACTAAGTATAATGTATGCTGGCTGTAATACCTTGTATTTCCTGTATTGGCTATCTGCCCGAATGCAGATAGCTATTTGTATTGGATTTTTCTTTTGTTTCACGAACGGCACTTTTGCAGACCGTTCGTGAACCGAAAACACCCTATGTAATAGCCCACACACTTAGAGGCGTGTGGCGCTTGTTAACCGATTGCAACAATGTTGCAATCGGTAATTAGAGGCTCTCCTAGGTGGTCGCCGTTCGACTACCGACCATGCGGCGGTCGGCCATCTTGGATCCTTTGTTCCCTCAGCGGGGTTAGATCGTCGAGCGCATGGTACTAAAAACGGCTACTCGACGGCGCGAACCCCGCTGAGCCTCCAGGCCGTTCGGGAGCTCCGGGCCGTTCGGTATTTCGTTCCCTGGAAGGCAATCGGTAATTTTAACATGTCTTTTTATAAATGTGTTTTTCGGGCGGCGTTCGGTTGTTTTAGCTGGGATCTGAGCGGTAATCTCACGAATGAGGCGCTCAGACCCCAGCTATCTACCGAACGTCCATTCGTGCAAATAAACCATATATTACCACAGTTATGTATTTTAATATAAATTGTCAGTTCTGCTGCACGGAGGGATAATCCACTTAACGGTATATTCCAGTGGGAGGATCCCTCTCGTGCAGCAGTGCCTGATGGGAGAAATAGCTTGTACAATAAGTCCCCCATGTAGTCCCCTCTGGGACTGCCCCTGGGAAGGGACTCAGGAAACCCCTTGCATGGAGACTTGTATAAATTGTGGAGCTGAAATAAAAGACCTCAGTTGACTCTCAGAACTGTGTTTCGTCCGGTTACTGGGAGATTTGGGATATTGCCTTGCTTTTTCCAGCGCTTGACTGTGGATTACTTCCTGAACCAGCGGAATTCGTGGATTTAATATTGGCGTTCCGCTACAACTACCATCACTCCTGGGTGGCAGCAATGACCACAGTACACATCAGCTCCAATACATATAGTAAAAACCAAAGGAAAAAAAGTTACCTGTGCTCTCTCCTTAAAGGACCACTCTAGGCACCCAGACCACTTCAGCTTAATGAAGTGGTCTGGGTGCCAGGTCCAGCTAGGGTTAACCCATTTTTTCATAAACATAGCGGTTTCAGAGAAACTGCTATGTTTATGAATGGGTTAAGCCTTCCCCTATTTCCTCTAGTGGCTGTCTCATTGACAGCCACTAGAGGCGCTTGCGTGCTTCTCACTGTGATTTTCACGGTGAGAGCACGCAAGCGTCCATAGGAAAGCATTGTAAATGCTTTCCTATGCGACGGGCTGAATGCGCGCGCAGCTCTTGCCGCGCGTGCGCATTCAGCCCAGGAGGAGGAACGGAGGAGGAGAGAGGAGGAGAGCTCTCCGCCCAGTGCTGGAAAAAGGTAAGTTTTTACCCTTTCCCCCTTCCAGAGCCGGGCGGGAGGGGGTCCCTGAGGGTGGGGGCACCCTCAGGGCACTATAGTGCCAGGAAAACGAGTGTGTTTTCCTGGCACTATAGTGGTCCTTTAATCCCTGTGTATATTTAAACAAATCACATTTAGTTACTCCAATGGCCATTGGAGGGAATGCCTGCCTGCCAAAGTCAAGGCAGACCCCCCTAGACGGGTCCCACTCTGACCCTTCACCTTGCTTCCTTGAGCTTCTGGCAAAGATATCTCTAATGAGACAGAAAGGGGTATTTTCTATATACACCCCTATATATTTATTAACTCTTAATAGGGAACACATGGGATGAGCGGCAGCATTGTAACCTAGCTGTGTGATACAAAAAGTAAATACAAAAAGAAAAGTCCTGCGCTCGCTCCCATCACTCCTGGGCAGCAGCTGCCGCCCATCCCATGTGTTCCTTATTCTGTTGCCTTTGGAGTTAGTGCTGTATCATCTCCCTTCTTTTAATTCCTGATGTATTGTGGAGTGTATGCAATGTATCAGAGTTGTTTTGCAGCACAAGGGGGAACTACACAATATTAGGCAGGTTGTTTTACAGTGTGTATATATATATATATATATTTATTTATTTTTTACCCGTATTAGTCCTGTAGACAAGATGCCAAAATAACAGAGTATTGCAGTATGCAATTATACATTTTTTAGACCTGTGGAAGAGCTGTATCTCTCAAAAGATTGTCTTTAAAATATTATGTTAGTCCAATAAAAAAAAGGTAACATTGCATAATGCAAAACTCTGGTATTTTGGATGGATGGATGGATAGATATTAGTCACGAACACACCCTACTTCAAGAGTGTGTGCGTGGTTGTAGTGGTGAAAGGGTTAAAGTTCACTTTTTGTCTGCACTAGACCGGAAATAATGACAAAATCTCCCTGAACACCACCCACACTTAAACATAATAACATAATAATATAACTATTACTATTTTAACGCTGCCACCACCAAGACAATTTATAAATGGGGTGCCTTGGTCCCCCAAGTGAATCGTTAATAAAAACCCACCTAACACGTCTTAGCACAATATTTAAGGAATTGCAAAAATTCGAGATAGTCTCTTCAGGTAACGTGATTCTTTACCAGACAAAGGCAGAACTTAATAAAGGAATATTTATTATGAGCAAAAAATAGTCACAGTGCATACAAAAATATAGATGACTATCAAAATGTTTTACACCAAAACAGATAAAACCAAAAGGGGATAAAATAACAGAAAGTCCTAATCACTTACACAGCTCTTCAAAGTATATACTTCTTCCCCTGGGGATCTCTGGTAGGAAAGATGGTGACTCACTTAGAATTAGATTTTGGCCCCAAGCAAATACAATATACACTACCGGATCATTAGAGATATAACCTGTTGATTACCATGCCTCACCCAGGGGTGGAGTTAAGGCTTATCTATAGAGATACTAAGTAACCATCCCCTTGTGTT